TCTTAGTCACATAATATGCTGTGACCTCAATGATGAGCTTGATATCAAAAGACAAGTTAGATCACTGAGTATACGTGGAAATGTAATCTGTAGAAAATTTAGCAAGTGCAGTGATGAAGTCAAATGTATATTATTTCGTTCTTTCTGTATGGGTTTTTATTGTGCTACGCTCTGGTCTATGTATAGGCTTTCATCTATGAACACACTGAGAGTATGTTAAAACAATATTTTAAGAAAACTGTTACGCCCACCGAGATACTGTAGTGCTAATGCACTATTTGTTAATAATAATTTATTATCTTTCCAAGAATTTATGAGAAAATCAATCTTTTTAAAGCGATTTTCTACCTGTGTGAACCCTTTAGTTCGTTCTGTAAATGGATTTTTTTTAAAGTTCTAGGCTCTCAAAAAGATGGAACGAACTTCTTTATGTTAATCCTTAATTTCTAAGGATCATGTGGGGTTTATTTTCCCCTTGTATTTATATTATTAGTAGTTAAGTTGACGATGTTTAACTATGGATGTAAAGTCTGAAATAAAGAATAATAATAATAATAACAGTCAATCTTCTTTTAAAGAATTATTAACAGGCTGTGATAGCAGAATTAAAAATGAGATATATTCCATTGCATTATTTACTATATACAAAATTAAAATTCTAACAGAGCTAGGTAAGCCAGTTTGTAAAAATGCATGGATTATATTTAAGAATTTTGTAAAAGAAAACAATTATGAATGGAACGTTATACTTGAATGAGTTTTATTTTGTTATCTATAGTATTATTAGCAATGTATGGATCGGATTAGGCGTGAATGCACTTTTAGGCTGGCGTATGCCTGAATATTAGCACGATCGTCGGGCTCAGTAGATTTAAGCCTACTACTGTAGGTCCATAGATTAAATTCCTTAAAATTCAATACAACTATTAGGCCAATGGACCTTTGTATTATAGGAAATAGACAAGTATAGGCATAGGTGTCCATTTTTCCTTTGTTCACTCTCAAACGTGAGAGAAACAAATAATAAATATTGTCACAGTAGGCCTACAGTAAATTCTTAAGTTTTGTGCACACTATCAAATTTTATAAATTTGTGTGATGTGTATGATGTATGGGCCTATGTGTATGTATATATATATATAGGCCACATATATATGGGCCTATATATGTATGCATATATAGGCCTATATATAAACATACATATAGGCCTATATATAGGTATGTGTGAATGTATATGTATATATATAATATATATTTAAAATTAAAAAAATGGTATTCTTTCATTTCATGAAGATATATAATAAATAAAGTATGTTATATTATAATGATATACCGTATAATGTGATATAAAAAAATAAAATTATTCTATTAAACAATTTAAATTATATTTTATTCCAAGATACCTTTATTCGATTATACACGTTATTGGTTGTTAAAAAATGATATAATAAAAAAAAATAAACGGTAATGCCATGAAGGTAATGAAAAAAAAATTGATATAGAAGGAAATATTGTACTGTACTGTACTGATTGTTTGCATAAAGGTGGTGGTTACGCCACGAAAGAGACAAAAAACTCTCTGATTTTAACTCTCTCCAACAAAGTACTTTTATGGATGCATCCTCTCACTCCATTTTACCAAAGTACTTCTGTGATATCTTCAAACCCAATTCCTCTTTACACAATTACTGTACTCGAGGTAGATATGATGTATACATTCCCCATAAAAAAACTAACATAATATTAGATTTACTGTCCTTAAACTATGGAAATCTCTACCTCCCCTAGTTGTCGATTCCATTAATAAAAAGTCATTTTCTATCCAACTACTCAAGAAACACATTATTTCTAGTTATGAATATATCAACTCCCTTATTTTCCCTTTTTTCACTGACTAATGTTCGGCGTCTTGGTCCAATTTCAACAGTTTCTTCCTTTGTGTTGCGTGTCTTTTTTGTCCTTTTTTGTCCATGTTTTTTTTCTTTCCTGTTTGTTTTTCGTGTCTCCCATTTGTCTTTTAGTTTCAGGGTGACTAGTCACAAGATGATTTTCTTCCTGGGTCTTTCTCCTTTTCTCAAGAATTTGTTATGATCTTGTCTTATTTTTTTTTTTGTATAAATTAAAATGGAAGTAAATAAATATTACTTTGAATTGAATTAAGTTGAAGAGTTTACGATATAAGATGCCACGCTAGATAACCTGCCAACACAGAAAGCTGCTAGATATGACCTGTATAGTCTGGTTGTAAAACTGCTGAAATGAACTTTAGCGAGAAAAAAGTAAAGGAAAATTAATTTTTGGTTTTTCTGAATCAGCATACCCTATAGTGTCTCAGAAAAAAATCCCCATGCCTAAGGCTTGGGCAATTTTTTTTACAGCACTTTGAA